CTGGGCTCCCCGCTCTGCTGCCGGTTTGGGGGAAAAGGCACCGAGCGGTTGGTTTCTGAAAAATGGGGTGAAAAGGGAGCTGGGGGCTCTGGGGGGGTCCCCCGTGACCCTGCTAGAGCGGCCTGGGGGATCTATGTGTGTAGCCAGCTCCATGGCTGGGGGAGCCGGGCTGCCAGCTACACCGCAAGCAATGCTGCGAGCTGTGCTGCGAGCTACGCTGCAAGCTACGCTGTAAACAATGCTGCGAGCTGTGTTGCGAGCTACGCTGCGAGCAACACTGCGAGCTACGCTGTAAACAATGCTGTGAGCAGTGCTGCGAGCTACGCTGCGAGCTATACTATAAACAATGCTGCAAGCAATGCCGCGAGCAATGCTGCGAGCTACGCTGTAAACAATGCCGTCAACAATGCCGTCAACAATGCTGCGAGCAATGCTGCGAGCTATATTATAAACAATGCTGCGAGCAAGGCTGCGAGCAATGCTGCGAGCTGTACTGTAAACAATGCTGCAAGCAATGCTGCAAGCTACGCGGCGAGCAATGCTGCGAGCTCCCCGTACCGCTCCCCTAACAGCACAGGGCGCTTGTCCCCGCTGCCAGCCCAGCCCGGAGGCTGGAGCAGGGAGAGGAGCAGGGCCGGTGCCACCCGCGGGGAGGGCAGGACGCGTACCTGGGCCACGGCCACCTGCGTCTGCTGCTGCTGCTGGAGGAGCTGCTGCTGGAGCAGCTGGAGGCAGTGCTGGGAGGCCAGCGGGGTGATGGAGGCCGAGGAGCAGGGGCTGCTGGGGCTGAGCAGCTGCTGGGAGCTGGCCGGGTGGAGGGAACAGTTCTCGGCATCCTGGGCGCAAAGAAACGGGCAGGGTGAGCGGACCGACCGGCTCGGGCTGGGATTCGGATCGTGGTTCCCCACAGTGCTGACCCCAGCGCAGCAGAGCGGCCCCCGCAGCCCTGGCACCAAGGGACTTCTGAGGGGCGCAGCCCTGGGCTGGGTGTCAGGCGCTGCACGACTACACCATCCCCAGGACAGCAGGTTTCGGAGCGACTCCTGCTCCCAGAGAGCCGGCAGGGCGGCATCACCTGCGTCTGGCCATAGCTCCAAACGGGGAGGGCAGGTCCCCGGGGAGGAGGTGGCGGGGGGTGACCCAAACACCCCACCACCTTCCCCACGAGGCAGCTTGTTGCCCGAAGCATTCGCCAGTGGCAGCAGCAGTTCAGTGCCAGGGCCGTCAGCGTTTTAAAAAGCTGCAGGGGTCCCAGCCCTTGGAGATGCTCCGCACCAGAAGGGCAGCGCGCACACGGACCGATTTCAGAGCAGCTCCAGACCCAGCCGTGAGCCCCCCCCCAGCACCCCAGCACCAGCGCTCAGCCCCGCTCCTCTGCCGGTTCAGCCCGAGGTGGGTTGAGCTCGCAGCCACCTCGCCTGCCTTGGGGACCGTGCGGTGGCACCGTGCGTGGCTCACCTGGCCCTCCGTAACGCCGGCGGTCTCGGCATGCGGCCCAGAGCCGGGCAGCGAGTTGTCGTCCCCCCCGGCAGGCAGCCTCCCACCCTGGCAGCGGGGGTGTTTTGGGACGGTTCCCCTCGCAGCGTGTCCCGCTGGGAGCTGGCCCGTGGCTGCTGTTTTTCCTAGCCCCCTGCCCTCCCCTGCTTGGGCAGCTCCAGCACCCAGAAGGAAAGCGCAGGAAAGCCCTGCCTTTCCAGCCACGGAAATGAATCCCATTGAGCGCGTTTCACCGCAGCTGTTTTCAGCCAGGCCCTGCAAGCGATACAATTGTGCGAGATGAAGCGATGCCATTCAGGCTGCCGGGAAGCGCTCACTGAGAAGCTCTGCAGAGCAGCTATTCATTACGGCGAAACCACCGCTCACGCCAAATGTGCCCTGCGTGCCTGCGCGGCTGCCGGGGCTGGGCTCCCTCGGGGACGCTGCTCCCTGGTCCTGGGGGACGAGGGGAGCTGGGGGTTGCTGCTGGGGGCACAGAAATCCACCCCGTATGGCAGGGAAATGGTTGCCTTGCCAGGGATGCCTCCTCTTAGTTTCTGCCTGTTATGTGGATGTTGCTGCAGGAGGGGGGGTCCTGCCTCGCTTCTTTCTAGCGCTGGGCGATCGCTCCAGCAGAGCCCCTCTGTGCTCTGCCCTGCCCGCACTGGTGGGCTCTCCCGTGTTGCATTTGAAGCCCACTTAGCCATGCGCTGTGGCCCCGCTCCCAACTCTCTCCTCTCCCCCTGCCCCAGCACTGGGACACAGCTTAGCTGCGGGTAAACCGGCTGCTGAACACCATGTCCTGCCACCGGGGCTGCAAAAGCAGGGAGCCGGGGGGGGGGGGGGTCTCCATGAAAGCCCCTCCAAATCAAGCTGTGATACAGTGACCCCGAGCAGAGGGACCCCAGCAGCGGCAGGGCACGTGGACTGTCCCCCCATTACCTGGCAGTTCTTATCCTTTGAGGCTTGCCCAGGTTTCAGCATGCCGAGGTCCCCCCTGCCAGCGGGGAGCTCTCCGGGTCCCCTCTCGGACACACAGATGCTGTCAGAGTCGATGCCAACCTCGTCCGCATCCGTGATCTTGGAGCCCTTTATCTGGTGAACTTCAAACAAGATGGATAAATAAACCCAGGCTCCCCCCCCGCCGCAGGATCGCAGCAAGGAGCTGGGGTGGTAGCTCAGGGATGAGGCCAGGACTTGCTTCAAGTCTCGGCTGCTGCAGAGGGGCAGGAGGAAGGGGCTGGTGCCTGCAGACCCTCAGCCTGCTGGGCAAGGGGGGCTCAGCCTCTGCCATCCCGTTGCGCCCAGCACAAGCGGGCAGATGGAGTGGATTCCCCGTGCCCCCCAACCGAAGGGGCCCAAAGCTCTCGCTGTCACCAGAGCTGGCCCACAAAGGACGTGTTTCCCCACCCCAAAGCACCCCCGGTGCCGCTGCCGAGGGTGGGGGTCTGCCCGCGCCCCGTGGGGAACCCCGCGTCACCTTCCAGCGGCTGCTCCTCGGCCGACTTGTCGCTGGCACCGTCCGCCTGCCCGTCGGCGTTCTGCAGGGCGTGCTGCAGGCTCAGCTTGTGGCAGACCTCGAAGGCTTGCCCCACCGTGCGCACCACCCGCATCGCCTGGCTCTGCGGAGCAAACCCGCCGCCGCTCAGACCCGCGGCAGCCGCCCCACCACTGGTGGGAGAACTGGGAATCTTCCTCCCGCTTCCCGCCCCAGGGCTGTCCCACGCTCCCATCTTTTCCCATGCCATCTTTTCTCCACTGCTGTCCGCCGCTGGACCTGATGCACAGCATCCCCCCCCCCGCCGCGGTCCCCTGCTCTCGGAGATGAGCTCTTATCTCTGCGTGGGCTGTACTGCTGCCAGAGCTGGGCCAGGAGGGGACAGGCACCAGGCATGTTTTTTTGGGGACATCCAGCACCAGCATTGCCTCGGTCTCTCCGCAGGGTTCTGCACCCTCCAACCCAGCGGTTACTTTGGGTCCCACGAGGGAAGGTGCGAGGTCCCTCGGAGACCTCTCGCCCGGGGGTGACCCAGCCGTAGCATCCTACCTTCTTCTTCGATTTGAAGACGTTGCACCTGAAGGAGTTGTTAGCACCATCCCTTGCGATGTAACTGAATATTTTCAGGTCTTGCGAGTCGTGAGACACATAGAAGATTCTAGGTGGGAAAGAGACAAAGGGAGTTAAATACCCAGGGGAGTCTCTGCCCCCCAGACAACCTCGGCGGTTCCCGCGTGTCCCCAGGACAGGCTGGCTCACAGCACCCGGGGTTGGAGGAACGAGGCGATGCTGGTGCATGGCCCCTCCTGCAATTTTCAAGGCAGGAGATGATGGATTTAGAGAGTGGCTTGATGGAAAACCTTCTGGTTTCTGAAGTAGACAAAAGCTTTTTAAAGATGCTGTGGGAAAGCTAAAAAAATCTATAGTATTGGAAAGCCTGTGGCTATTTTTAGGCCCAGCAATTAATCCTTGCCTGGGCTGCAGCGTGGCACAACTGCCTGTACAGCGAATGTCCTGCCCGCCTCGGTGCAGCCAGGCCAGGGACCCGGCGCGGGTCCGTTCTCAGCAGCAGGCAGGTGGCACGGCACAAAAGGCAGCGTCCCCCGGATGCCTCTCCCAGGGACGCTGAGTGTATGCAGAGGATTTCTGTCTCTCCTATTCAGGCTGACTCTTTCTCCTCCCTGTGCTACAAAACCATTTTTAAAGACCTTTTTATATGTTTGATTTAATTGGGTAAAAATGTGACAAGTGAGTTCAGCTCTGAATAGGGAAGAAACCAAAGGGATTCTCAGAATGTTTTTCTCTTTTACTCTTTTCTGTCATTGGAATTTTTTTGTGTTGAACTTGCAGTTGGAGCAATTATTGCCAATGTACCACATCTTGTAATAATCTTTAAAGAATGCCAGAAGTGAGAGATAGGCACGCATAATGCATCAGCACGTTCTCTGCTTCTTATCTCCTCACCAAGGGCACTGACCTAGAAAACCAATGTTGGTGATCCTAACCCTGAGGGCTGCGGGCTTCGTGCTCGTGGTCCAATTATTCACTTGGCAGATCTAACAGCCTGGTGCAACCTGTGCTCTTAACTGTGTCCACAGGCTACACACCATCGCTGGGGTTGCCTTCAAGGAAGCCACCCCTGATGGCTCCTGAGGCATCAGGTTTACGTGCAATGTAAACCTCTGCGTGGGGCTTGTGGTCTCCAAAATACTCTGAGATCCCACAGCAGGTGCTATGGAAAGTCGATGCCACCTTACCACATCCTGTATGAGTCAATTCCCTGTAAGCACTTACGCCTTAGAGTAAGGCCCTTCTTCAGAAGCACACAGCGAGCCATGCTCTGAAGGAAAACCGCGGGAAGCCTGGCTTCAGGGTCAGAATCAGAGAGTAATTCAGGTTGAAGACATTTCTGGGGGTCATCTAGTCTAACCCTGTTCAAAGCAGAGCCAGCTTCAAAGCTAGATCAGTCCATCTCACTCTCAAAAATGTATGAAAAGGATTCCCCATCAGCAGGAATTTTGCAACCTCGTTAATTTTACATGGTCCTTTGGAAAGCCAGCCTTGGTGGAGGTAACTCAGCAAGCGGGAGGATGGATATGCATCGCTCAGGGCTGATTGGACCTAGCTGGTCTAAATCCCCTGCTGCGTACCTGTACACAGGATCGTGCATCACCACCATCTTACTCTCGTCCCAGGTCCACTCCTTTCTCTGTAAGCAGAGGGCAGAAACAAAATTACAGTGGGTCAGGTAAAAATGAAACTCCAACATGCTGATGGGCAGGAGCCCTGGAGAACGGTGCATTTGTCGCAAGCCAAAATCCAGGCTACACTGTGACTATATGAACAATGGCTCTTTCATCGGTATCTTGGATAAAAATAGATTTCTTTGATCATTTATTATATCCAGTCATCTGATCATAGCTTTCAGGGCTGAATGTGGTCCCTAAGATTAATTCATAGCATCAAATATGCAGAAGAGTAACACGTTTTGGGGAAGAAGGCTCTGAGCTAGGTCTTAGGAGATCTGGATCCAGCTGCTGGCTCAGCTCGGTGGAAAGCATAGCCTGGGCGAAGAGCTGAGGGGTGCTCAGCCCAGGCAGTGCAGAAAAAGCCTACTGGTATTAACAAGAAAAATAAACTGTATTTCCTGAAAGCTTGACATTTTGTGACAGAAAAAAAAAATCCTCTTCCCACACTGTAATTTTCCCACTCTTTTCAGCAAGGTTTTGTTATCAGTTTGATGAAAAATTGAGTGTTTTCTCATGAAAATTCTGTGTGGTTTTTAAGAAAAGGACAGTTTGGGTTAGAAGTGTGACTATCCTGAGTAGTGGTAATATCCAGACACGGTGAAAGCCAACATCCCGGGTGCTCTGGCCCCAAGTGCCCCAGCTGGGCTGGAAAAGTCTCACCTTCTGCTTCTTGCGCAGAATCACCTTCACCCCGTCCACAGACACAATGATGCTCACTTTCTTCTTCTTAATGTTTTTGGCTTTGAATTCATACTGATGGGAAGAAAAACCCAGGTTAGAAGAGAGGTAGTATTGGGGGAATGTGGCACAGTGTTAGTGCAGTATTAGTCAGTGCTTTACATGAAAAAGTTGGGTTTGTGTTTAATCCCAACTGCCCAGGGAAGTAGGAATTTGCTTTATCCTGCTAAGAAAATCCATGTTGGGAAAGACCTGCTGCTGTAGCTGAGATGCCAGGCAGGATCCTGGCTTTGTCAGGAGCCAGGAGCGTCCCTTGGGAGAGGACAAGCAGAGCTCAATCCTCTGGGCTACATCCAGAGACCGTTAATTCGGATCCGGGAAGAACTTTCCTGATGTGTTGGCCATGCCTGGTCCAGCGGGACTCTGCACCAGAGGCTTGACGGGGAGACGGCACTTGCAGCAAACACCAAGCAGTGATTTATGGCATCGCCAGTGCCCTTGTATAGCAGCGCTGCAGTGTGCGGGGAGTATAAAATCACTTATGAATTGCAGGGAGGGCCAGATGGGTGGCAATAATGCAATTATACCTCAGTCATTTGCATAATCACATTAACCTCAGTGGGCTCGGTATCTCTGGAGAAAAACCCAGCTCCTCACCTGCAGGTGTCTGCAGTCTGAACTCACTTCCATTTGTGTTAAAAATTAAACTGCTGGCTTTTAAATGTTGCTTTTGCTAGCAGCTAGAAGCATGGCAGAGCCCTTCCACTCTGGAGACCTGTATTTACAGCGCTGATCCTTACTGGCCCCATTTTAGGCACTATTTTTGGCTTCCAAATACAGCATTTTGATACCCCATATTTTTCGCAGTTCCTGTCTGAAATCCAGCTTTCCTGGGCCAGATCCTCAATTTATCTAAACGAGCACGTCCATTACTATCACTGCAGCTACAGTAACAGCCACTGTGTATCTATTAAAAAATAAATCCTTTGGATTAACTTGATGTACAGTTACCAGAGCTGGAAAGCAGAGGTTACAAATCCCCTGCTTTAATAGTCTAATAATGTCAACGGTGCTGTAACGGAGCTGGGACTCGGCAAAGGGGACATCACAGGGACACCAGTGTCTGCTGGCTCTGCCTGTGCAAGCGGCCGCAGCGAGGCCACGAACGTGAGCGAGCGTGGCTGCACCGAGCCTCCCCCTGTGCCTGCTCTGCCCTCACTCCCCGACGGCTCTTGGCTCCCTCCACACGCTGTTAGTCATGGTCTACCAGAAAACAGGCTATGGATGGGCTCCGGCCGTATCTTCCATCAGTCTGTCACGTTGGAAGCAGCTCGCAAGCTTTTCCTGCTAAGGCGCCAGGGTGATGCAGCCCCCTCTGCGGCGTCCTGTCCCCCCAAGGACAGCCAGCCACCTCGCTGGCGAGCACTGTGCCACCCAGCCTTCCCATGGAATGCTGCCGGGAACGGGAGCTGCCTCTGCTCCACCACCAGCCTCCAGTGTCTCCTGGGATGCCTCTGCCACGTCGCTTTGGAGAATCAGCGCAGACTGCCTGACTCCCAGACACGGACGACAAGGCGATGCCAAGCGTCAGAGTGCAGCCTGAAGCCTACCTACGCTGTGTAATTAGACACCTAATTAGAAATCTTATCTCTTTATACAGTCGGCGGAGCTGCAGGTAGCAATTGAGATGTTAAGGGAGTCCAGGCACCTCTTTCAGGAGCCTGAAGTTGAAGGACTCTGTGTGTGGCTCCGTGTCAGCATGGCACCCAAGCACTGCAGAGAAGATACGCATCTTTCCAGCTCCTCAGCACCCATTGTAAGCCACGCCAGCCTTACAGGCAGAAAATTGGGTGGCTTTCATGTTTATCAGGCTTTTGATGCTGCTCATTGAATTCTTAGCACTCTGCTAGGTTTATGGTATCAGACAGACCCCGGATTAAACCATAGCCTTTTGATCTCCCCATGAATTATTACTCTGAGACAAGCTCTTTAAAAAATCTATCTATAGCACCATTGTGTGTGAAGCCAGAGCTAAATTTGCTATACACATTTTTTATTTATAGGGAGCAATGAAATGATGGGTGAGGTGTCAAGTGCATCCTGCAGACTGTCGCGGGCCGGGGGGGAACCTGCAGGAGATGCACATATCTGCGGGGGTGAGGCCAGGCAGCTGGGTTCACCAGCCTCAGCACCCAAAAGGGCTTCTCCCACCCTCTGCCCGAGCAGCCCCTCGGTCCCCCGGCACCCCCAGCACAGCCTCACTGGGTGCTCCCAGCTCCGCTGGGCTGGAGCTTCCCCCTCCCCTACGTTCAGCCCTGCCAAACTGTTTCTCCTTGTCTGCTTGCATGAATGTCAATAAAACCGGGATAGATTGTTCTACCCGCTAAAGAGCTATTTATCTTTCTTTATACACAAATGGCTGGGAAAATACTAGCCGAGCTTTCCAAGAAAGAGAGCGCAATACAGTGTATTTTCCCCTTGTAGCAACAGGGGTGCAATTACATTCAAACAAGGCTCTTTACTCAAAGGCTTTAAGCAAAGTCCAAGTCTGGATTTTGCAGAGATGCTTTTTCTTTCTCCCTTGGACAGAAAGGAACAATCAGGAGCAGCGGCAGCGCATCTCCAGGTGCTGCCAGGAGTGATGGCAAGTCTCTGTAAACCCAAGGAACCCCAGCCAGCTACCACACCTGACTTTGGGACAGGTACGGGGCTTCAGCTCCAAGCAGAGCCATACAGCTGGTGTGAGCTGCCTGGCACGCTCTGCCCCTGCCGCGGGCTGGTGCTGAGCCGTGCTGGGGTGGCTGGGGCTGGGGAGGGACACGGGGTGGGCTGGAGCAAAGCGCAGAGCTTCTCCCCCGCCCCAGCGACACGCACACCCCGCACACGGCGTCTGAAGCAGTTTTGACCCTTGCAATCCGCAGGCAGCACCCGCGGGCTCTGCTCAGGATGCAGCCCTTTGCCACAGCACCGTCAGCAAGGAAGGAGGCCGATGAGTTTGCCTGTCCTGCTCACTCCATGCAGCTCCTGGCCACCGCCGCGTCCTCACCAGAGCCCCTGCAAACAGCCAACGCACGCTCCCCATGGCAGAGGTGCCGGGGTCCCAGCCACGGGCAGAATTAGCTTGGCCTGAAAACAATCAAAACCACTGGGCCCCAAAATTCTTTCTAAAGGGTGAACACCCTCAAGCAGCAGGAGCCGTAGGATGGCCCGGTCCTGAGCGGCTGCTCAGCACACGGAGCGGTAACGCCAGCCGGGTGAGAGCACCGTGCTCCCCAGAGCAGGGCTGGGCGAAAGCCCCCCGAGCCCATGTCGCACCGGCTTGGATTGGACTCTGTCTCCATCTCAACGCGTAAGAGGCAGATGGGATACACCTTCAGTCGCCTAATTGCTTCCTATCAAGCAGGAATCAGTATTTTAATTAACTGTGATTTATATAAGGACAAAAAAGCACATGAAAAAATGCACTCCAAGACAGCAGACCTTATGTCTTCTAAAAATGTTCGTGCGCAAACCAACGTACATCTGAGCACGAGACTCCTGGCTAACCTGGCACTGGTGTCAGAAAGCAAAGTCACTGATTTTTTTTTTTTCTTACTATTGAATAGATGTGATATTTTTTCCAAATTTGTCAAGGTTACCGACAAATCCAAACCCACACAGCAGTGTTCATCTTCTCTGCTGCCTTCCGAGATTCAATCGTTATTCTCTTGCTGCTTGTACTATCCTATGGGGGAAAGCTTTCCGGATGTTAAAGGATCTGGAGTTGCCCTTACAAGCGGCGATTCAGCAGGCAAGCCTGGCAGCTTTCTTAGCCATGGAGAAAAGATGGGACATTTTATAAAAAAATGCAGGTCAACAAAGGGCAATGCATCTCATTTAATTTAGCAGCTTCATTAATTCTATTTCTGATGTGTCTGACCTGGAATACTTTCCATTTCTGCTTTTAAATCCCTGTGTTCGAGTCCTTGCCTTTCATATGGTCCCACACACTGTTGGCATGTAATATTAACTTACCCAAGAGCTAAAGACTGTATGACTAGAAATGTTAATGGTGCCGTGTAATGCATATTTCATCTGATAATTCCACCCAAGCAGATATAAATTACACATGCAGTTACCAGCTTCCATCTGCTGATGAAAGAGATGGGCTAATGCACGTTGGAAATCATATGCAGTTTCCAGCACTAAGAACAACTTGCATGAATAGAGTTATTCAAAGAAGCAATTCTTAATGTGATTAATTACTGAAGGTATCAGGGCCCTCATTATGCAAATGAAAACTGTCATAAAATAGAGAGTTTGCAAGTCTTAGAGGCAGTCTCTGTTTCCAAAAAATGCATCTTTCCCATTAACAAAGAGCAGAAGGGCCAGACTCGAGAGTGCCGGCAGAGCCAGGGCACGCTCCCAGCCATGGTTCAAATGGTGTTTGCTGCGGTGCAGCCCAAGTTGAATTAAGGGAAATTAAGGCAGAGGCTCTCCAGGTTTTTGAAACAAACAGGAGTACATCAGTGCTTCCAATTGCCGCCGGGTAAGGACTTTGTTTGCGTGCCCAAAGGAAGATGCCACAGGCTTGGAAATGGACGACTTCTTCCTGCAGCTGTAAATTCTCCAGCCAGCCCTTAGCCTGCTGTCCTGCCCCCAGCCTCCCCTTGCCCCGTCCCGGCCTGGCAGGCTGCAGGATGTATGTGTCCATAAACAACCCCACAACAATAAGCAGTCACGGCCCCTTCCCAAACCTCGCCTGCCAGACGGACACAGGGAGCATGGCAATGAGGAGGTGACGATCTGCTCGGCTCTGCCCCCCGACAGACCGGCTCCGGGCAGCGTCACCCCGGCAGGACCCACCGGTCCCTGCTCCTGCATCCCAGCGGCGTGGGTGGCATCCTTCCCTCCCGCCGCAGTACGCAACCTCCGATACCATATGAGCGCCGCTTTAGCAGTTCAAGCCATGATGAAGCCAAGTATTTCAAGTTCAGGAATGTAACTAATTTCAAAGCAAACTGACCCGCACGGCATGAGGGCACGGCATTGTATCTCGACTGCTGTTTGAACTACTGATAGCTGGAGTGCTGCCG